GGGGGGGATGAACATGAAGGCGGACGCTTAGACTCACTTGCGTGGGCTACGGGTTCTGGAAACACTCGGTGGTCGGGGTTTTGGCCGAATGCAGTCGAAACCCTTAGCGTTCAGCTCACCACCATCTCCACAATGTGAGCGTGGCGGCTGCGCAGGCGGTTATGGCTGTCATGGAAGCAAACACTCAATCACGTGAGGCTGGGCTGGTTGAACGAAATGCGGCTCTAGCAGTTGCCAATTAACAAATGAGGCTGATGACAGAAATTGGTGGACTGAGTCAATGAGAGTTACACGGAGGAGGTTCCGCAGCAGGTTCCGGAGGAAGGTTCCGGAGGAGGTTCCACATCATGGGTGGTGGCTATCTTCCTGCAGTGTTTTTGTCCGAACTTTGCTGGGAAAAACCAAGGTCAAGGAACCCACCCAGACATTTTCATTGGCGGCATCTCGTGAATGGAAAAATCAATGAACTTGTGGCATTGTTGCTCCCGGCCCTGGTGAAGAATCGGCATAAGGAGGTGTGTGTTTGGGTGTAGGGATGGCGGAAGCGACTGGTTGAACCGTTGCAGCCCCCAAAAATATTTTAAAACATTGTAACGTTTTTGATTTTTGCGCAAAAAATTGCGCTGAAGCAGGGCTGCAGGCTTGGAAGTTGAGGGACCAAGGAGCAGCTTGTGCTACCATGACTCCCGTTCGCAATCTGGAAGTGGACAGGGGGCCTAGTGAAGATATCGAGGACATTGACATGTTTGCGGCGTATTTTTGTGAGAAAGGTAAGGGACGGAAGGAATCACTTCACTTGCTGCAGCTGTTCCCGAGCTTTGGCTGTCATCACTGGAGTGCCCTGGGCGGTTTCCGGTTGGGAACTCAGGTTTCGGCAATGGGGCTTCCGAGTGTGTGGGCTTTTGCGGCTTGGATTCAGCTGGTGCAAGGAGTAGGGGTACCCTTGGATGACTGCCAGGACGTGCTGGGTTAGTTGACCAATTTTTGAAAACACAACCTGCCACACACCAGGCAACCACACACACAAACACAGCTGAAATCGTTCTTGTGCGCAAAAATTCCAAAACTTGAAACTCACGGGTCTTGGGAAGGACTGCAGCTTGAACGTCTTGCAGATGAAGGCCTCCAAGAGCTCAAAAGAGGCATGGGGAGAGCATGGTTATTGCCACGGACCTCGTGGAGATCGCTGGTGTGACGCCTATTCTGAACATGAATGTCGCATGGCTGGAGTGGGCAGAGCAGTGAAACGAGAGTTTCTGTAAAGGCGTTTCAGCGTAGTGTCTCAAAAGGCCCTATTTCATGTGAGGCACGTGGTTCTTGACAGGTTAACGAAAGCATTCTGGGCAAACCTCTCCAATGTAAATGCTGCATGCTTGACTTTCGAACGGACGAGTCGTGCAACCTAATCATATGCACTTGAGGCTTTCACCTTGCTTGATCATGTCCTATACCTTCCCAGGCCGTGACCGCAGGGACAAGGGCTGCGAATGGAGGCAGGCCGAGGAAGTGAGGCACATGAAGCGTGGAGCATGCAATCCGACAGGGGTGCAGGTGCACAAGTCCTGTTCCGGAGACCAAGGCCTTTGCTCATCGATCCCCGGTTGTTTTTGGACTCCAGGCATGTCCATTGAACCCATCGGCAGCCCGGGGTTTGGCCGTAACGACTTCAACAATCCGATGGCGGGGATGTGTACGGGCATGCCGATGTACAACCAGGAAGTTAACTGCATGGGTTTGTCAGAGGGCTTGTGCCGATCGCATGTTGGCCAATGTAGCTGGGATGAATTTACATCCTGAGACGCGTATCGGCATAGTTGAGAGGTCACATCCCTTGCAAGAGACAAGAGTTGGACCATTTCAACAAAAGGGTGATGAAAAAGTGTGAGGAGAATTCGGTTCAGTCGGAATTGTTGATGAACTGTCGAACTGTGAGCTGGATTGTTATTTTGCGGGCTAGTGAGTTTGTCCAGTTGTGTCGTGTCGAGTTGTGTTGGTATTCCATCAAATTCTTTTTCGCGGACGGGTTTCGTTTCAGCTTCTGTGCTCTCAGGCCGGCCTACCAAAGAACAAAACCCCGCAGTTTTGGACCAAATGGAAATACCGCAGTTGCAGTACTCTTGACAAATACAATTTTTGCGTTTAGCGGCGAAGCGCGCCTCCAACGTGGGCCACCAGACTGTATTGAGGTGCCTAGACTTGGTGAACATACTGCAGTCCCCAACCCATTGGCATAAGGTATACAGTAAAGTCTAAAGAAACAAATACAGGTTTGTGAACCTGGAGTTCCAACGGCTAACTTTATAAAAGTCGTCACTACAACCGAGGTCACAGGCCATGCCGTCAGCTATGATATGTTGGTTGGTCACAATTGTGCCGCCACCGCCCTTGTTGACCCACGCTTTGAGCCCATCCACATTAAGCAAGGCAGGGAAAGTGCACCCGAGTGAGTAGAGAGTAAGACTGAGCGATAATGAGCGGTGAAAAAGGAAACCTGAAGAGGAGAGACGTGCTGTGTTCTTTTTGTTTTCTGTCGTGCCTGGTGGGCAATGATTTGTTTTCAGCCTTCGGGATGCCCACCAAAACAAACAAACAGCTTTGGAACACCTCACGTAATGTACGCAGAGAATCTGGCAGCAAAGAGCGCCTATGTATCCTTTTGGCGGCCACCTGCTGGGAGGGATCACTTGCTTGCTTGTTTGGTTGTTTGCTTGTTTTTGTTTGGTTTTGTTAGTTTAGTTTATATAGTTTAGTTTAGTTAGTTAGTTAGTTTGGTTCGTTGGTTGGTTGGTTGGTTTGTTTGTTTGTTTTCTTTTTTTTGGTGCTTGTTTTTTCTTTGGTGTTTGTTTGTTTGTTGGTTTGGTTTGGTTTGGTTTTGTTTGTTCGTTTGGGCTTGTTTGGTTTTGTTTGGTTTGGTTTGTTTTGTTTTGGGTTGGGTTGGGTTTAGTTGGGTGCCGAATTGGATTGCGCCCAGCAGGAATCATAAGACTGCATGCCTATGAGTTGAACACAGGCTTCCTTCTGACACTTGCCGGTTATATAGTTCCTGAGCCTTCCGCGTTTTTGTGCCATGCCCGAAGACCAGGGGGGTCATGACCCGTGGCGGCAAGAAGCTGTGCAAATGCAAAAGGATGACCCGGAACTGACAATTTCCCAGATCGCAGCGAGGTTGAACAAGCCAGTGAAAACTGTGAAGAGTGCTTTGGCCAATGCCAGGAAAAAAGAGGCCTTGGCCAAGTCCGAGAAGGGTTCGCAAGGCTATTCAAAGGAGGGCAGAAATGACAATGACAAGGCAAATTTGTTGCCCTACCAGATAGCTCCTATTCCAGGTAAAGGCCTTGGACTTGTGGCTACTCGCAAGATTTGCCGTGGAGAGCTCATAGTTCAGGAAAAGCCGGTGCTGACAGCTTCTGGAGGTCTGGTGGGGTTTGCACTCAAGCAGCTCCAAACGCAATTTGACCAGCTCAGCTCTTCAGTGCAAGATGAGATTATGGTTTTGTATGATAAACATGCACCTGATGGAGTTGGAAAGACCCTTTCTGGAGTGTTTTCAACCAATGCCTTGCCGCAGGGGGTGGGCTCGCCAGATGCAGCACTGTGCCTTGTGATCAGCCGAGCCAACCACTCTTGCATCAGCAATGCCTACCACGGTTGGGTGGACGGACGTGAAAGGCTGTACTGTGACACAGACATAGAAAGTGGCGAAGAGATTTGCACAAACTACATCCAGTGGCATAGGACCACCATCCAACGGCAAGATGCATTGCAAGCCCAATTCGGCTTTTTGTGTGGGTGTCCCGCTTGCATGGAAGAAGAAACTTTGCGCAAGAAACATGATGCAATTCGCTGTCAGATCGGGGAGTTGGATGAAGCCATTCCAGAACTTGCATTTTCACCTAGCAAAGCAGTCGCTTTAGTGGAAAAAGTGCTCGGATTGTATGAGCAGCTTGGCAGACCTGTTCCACATGCGGCTGAACAACGACATTGCTATGACGCATTTCAACTGTCACTTTCAGAGGGGAACATGCAGGCAGCGAAACGATGGATTCGGCGAGCATACAACGCCAGTGTGGTCACAGATGGAATGACTTCCCCAGGAACTTTGAGGTTTCAGCGATTCATGAAAAATCCTATGAGCAGGATGCAAGATGGGCCATGCGTTTAGAGTCTACAGTGATGAAGTCTATACATAAACATGTGCGTTGATGAGGTGAGCTGCGGACTACAAATTGGCGCTTGAAGATGCAGTTCGCTTCTACCGGCACTATTGGGTACTGTCATTATGTTCCTATTGCTGCAATGCCAAGGGCCCATTCATTTCGTTCATTCCCTGCTTTTGGGTGCTTCTCGAGAAATTCCCATTCCATGTTCAACGGGATCCATTGGGACTTTTCTAAGCCAAAAGGCGCTGAGGAAACTCTTTCTTTGATCTCTTGAATCCATGTTCGTAGGCACGGTGATATGTTTAAAAACTGTGTACTGTATATGTAGCCCATGGAATAGGTACCAATCAAGTTGTTCCAGGTGCAGACACAAAAAAAGCACTGGAACATTTGTAGAGCAGAGAATCCAGCAATGTCAGAGATCAAGACTTCTGAATGCTAACTCGGTTTTGAGCATTCAGTGTTGCTGCACTGCATGGTAGCGTTTTCGTTGTGTTGGGAGTGATCACTTGTTTGTGGCATGGCCCTCAACCTCACACTAGCCTCATGGCTCTCATGAGTTTGGTGCCTGAACAATCCTTGAGCAGACAAGGGTGCAGAAAGAACCATAGACGAATACAGGAGATGTTGCAGAAGTTGCAAAAAATTGTGATTTTGGAGACCAACACCGCTACAAACGCCACCATGCACACAACAATGACAGCATTGTAACTTACAAGTGTGGCAGAATCGTCTCAGATTTCTGAATTTTTTGGTGGGCCCATGTGCTTGGAAATGGTATTCCCGGCATGTTGTTTGCCCTTGCATGGTCAGTTGTGGACGTCGATCATTCTCAGGCAGAGTGGGATGCTACCTGCGAGCCCCTCCCGCTACATCCAAGCAGCTTGGCAGCAATTGTCAATGTCGATTTTGAAGAGGGGTTGTTGTATTGATTAGTTCGATGGGTGGCACGCTCGCGGTGCAACATTCTGCCTGACCGTGTGTGACTGAGTGCATGTTACGCTTGCCGAGCGCTATTTGTGGTGCCTCGCTGTCTCTGTTCCTCACAACTCATGCTTGGCTGGTGCCCAGGCTCGCACACTGCCAGGCACCGGGCTAGAAGCTGTGCCCAGAGCTCATGGCATGAAGACGGAAACCCTTCTTCCACTCTGGTTGCAGCACCAGGGGTAGTTACTCTGAAACCGGCCAGTTACACTGTACTGTACTGAGGCCAAAGAGGCACACAATCGGCACCCATGAGACTGGCTACTACATTTCAAGAGGCCAGTAGACAAGAAAGGATGAGATTGAATATAGTTGCGTTGTGCTGGCATGGCGCAAAGAGGCATCCTTTTGCAGTAGTGGTCTGCTTCGAGCCGAGGATTCAGCCAGCCCTTTGGTGCTAGGGCGGCCCCTGTAACGCGGCTGGAACGAAGCACCAGTCCT